TTACAGGATATTTTTTAAACACAAAAATCGGAACAAAGGAAGGAGACACACATGATATTGGCCACTTCGGGCTTGGGCGAGAGGTGGAGATGCTGAATAGCTAATTGAACAACAAAAATCTATTTTGCTTTAGTATCTTTTTCGAAAAACTCAAACAACGTAAGTAGACCTGGAACAGCCCGAACGGAATAACTAAAAACGAAATAGACTACATTGTCTTCAAAAAGAACAACATATGCCCCGATATGACAGTATTGAACAAATTTTATATGGGAAGTGACCAGAGATTAGTGCGAGCAAAGATAAAGACCAACATGAACAACAAAATGCAACAAACTCATCAAACAAGAACCCTATGCAATATCGGAAACTCTGACTCAAAAACCAATCGAATACCAAAATGAATTAGAAATAAGACTAGCACCAATTATACCAATTTTTCATTCTATTCCAATTGGTTAATGAATTTCGAATTTTTTTTAGCACAGAACTGCATCACTTATCACATAACTTTTCAACATTTTTATTTATAACCATATTTTACAATGTCCGTTTTTATTATATAAAAGAATTAATGTCTGAATAAGCAGAGCTCGGTGCTAAAAATTATTTTTTTGGCAAAAATGTACAAAGCTTATTTGCTCGTTAATACAAAATAAGCCCCCAACCCTCTAAAAGGAGTGGCATTAATTTTGGATCACACTGTTTATAAACCAAGGCAAAAATGAATTTTGTTTATAATTTCGACAAAAGTAATACTTAATTATCTCACGTTCGTGCCACGCATTAAAGTTATGTGGCAGTTTAACTACATTATTCACCAGAACAGCCTGCTTTCTCAGCAGGGTAATTGCTCAATATGTAACGACGTTTTTATGGAATTTCGCTAGACCGATTTCAGTAAAGTTACTGTAACTTTTCACTTAATTTTTTTCATTTGTTTGTATCAAATACAAACACATTTGGTTTCTGGTTCAGTTGCTACCAGTATGTGTACCGGTTAACTTTGGACCATACATATTGCCACTTTCCTTTTCCCAGGCTGAATATCTAAGTAAATAAATGAAAGCCCGTTCCAGTAAGTAGGCTGATTTGTTGTATGAAAGAGCCCCCATATCCAGCATGACATTGGATTTTCTATGTAAACCATTTACGATCCTCTATCACATATTAAGCAATCTTTCAAGCGTAACTCCCTATTTATCGAAGCAGTAAAGCAATCTTACAAGGGGGCGACATATCTGTTAATGTACTGTGATGTATTTATTTAATGTCGGCGATGCAATTGCCCTTTTGGATCGACGACAGCGCGGATAATTAATGACTCTCAGATTTGTGTTGAAATGGGGGAATAAGAACGCAGAACGCGAACGAAGAATGTCCCATTTGATTCGTTTTAGCGATGACTTAGATTTTTATCGTTTTATAGGATCTACATCAATCTGTGATCGGCCAATCGAATCTCCATTGGAAGCTAAGATAATATAGATAAGATGATACTCTGAAACGAAAAGTCGAGATTTTATTTCGCTAATGGCGGTCGAACATTCGATACGCGGCTATTATAGTATTCGATTTTGTTCTGATGGAACATTGTTTGCTATCTATTTTAGCAGCAATACAAACATTCATTTGAAACTTGCCTAATGCAACTTGCTTTTAGCAATTATAGGGGCCCTTGATTATATCCGGTTAATATTTTAAGGTGACCTGTTTAAAACATCATATACCCAACATAACTATGAATAGTTTGTCAGTTTGCCACTAGATATAATATTTCGTAAAAGAATACAAAAAAGTTATTTAATACATACTTTAAAAATAAGGAACTTTTATTGAGATACACTATACCAACCCTTATATTTACGACGCATCCATATATTCTTAATATACCGGGTGCTTCCTCATCAGTCCACACTTCCTCTATATTAGGGGTGAGCAACCTTTTTAAACAACGGGCCAATTTGAATCTTAAATTTTTCTTTACAGGCCGCTTATAAAGTAACACTCATTAATAATTTTCAAAATTTTATTTATAATAAACAT